CCTTGCTGAATCCCGTCCCTGCCTGATGGCTGTTTCTGCTTGTCCACCAGCTCCGTCACGTTGAATTTACCTTGCACACCAACCATGACTAGTCCAACCCACACCGACCACCACAAGATCCTCCACCAAAATCACCACAGCTGACACTGACACTGTCGAATTCTCACGTCCACAATGTCCCCCCAAATTCACCTTACGCATCCGCCCGGTCGGTCACTTGCGAATTCATCGCACAGAGACCGGAGGAACAGTGCCTTTAGCAGTAAGCTGAACTCGTCGCATTCGCATACACTGCCCACACTGTACTGGCACGTCTATTCACCGCATGGGTCTACTGGGCCACATGCGCGTCCACGAAAACCCACGGTAGACAACTGCCGGCTGCATCACACCATCTCTTCAGCATCCTCAACAGCATCTCATCGTACATCAACATTCACCCACCACAAGCATCCAACTGCCACCTCCCACGCAAGTGTTCCTCTTTACTCCGTCTCCATGCGGAACTCCTGCTGCATGTGTGACTCGAATCTGAAACTATCACGGCGCGTCAAGCGTTGTAGCTTGAAAAGCCGCTGACTGACGTCCCAACTCAGCCCACGCAGTCCATCCAGTTTTGTGTGTGTTGCGTGGAGTGGCGCACTGGTGGACTGAGAGCCAGGCTGAACCGGCTCCTTCTCAGTGTGACCAACGACACTCTCACACTTCTGAAATGTACGCCGCTCAAGCCCCCTTGTATGAAATCCTGGTGCCTTGGTTTGTGGAGCCAGTTCGTGCATGTGGTGCACGCAGACAAGATCACTGGACCACGTCAGCCACCACAGAGAAAACGCTTGTTCGATGCAACTTAAAGCGTCTATTTTGTTGGGTTTTAACCCGGTCCAGAAGTCCAACTTCTTGCGCGATGGAATGGGCCGACTTGATGGCGGGACGAACTCCCTGACTAATATCCTGGAGCCTCCAATTAGACGAAGGAAAGTAGGCAGTGATTGTGGCAATCTCAACAACCAAAAATCGGAAAGGACAGTATTTCTTACCTACCCTACACAACACCTCCCCTTTCCAGGGCCAGAAAGCCTAGGGCGATCATGACAGGTACTCTGCTAGGTGTTAGGGTGCGGATTACGGATATACTTTGGGGTTTGGGGTAAGGCCTTAGACATGGACTTCGTGCTGGTGGATAAGATACGCCGCGTGCGAGACCATGCCTATAACGACCTTCAGGCGCGGTCTCGAATGGAAAGAGAAGGTGGATGCCAGCGCGAAGGATGATGCATTCAGTACAGAATAAGTGGAAGAGCTGGGGAGAGTTGGCAGCCAGACGAGGGAATGTCAATCGTCGAGTTGGCGGCGTCGCAAAGTCCGTCATGGAATGCGTCAAACTGTCCGACTCGGGTTTAACCTGATTGGCCAGTTGGGAAGCCGAGTGGGCGAATGCCAGACAGCACAGTTGCACACACGCTGACACTCACCAAAGGCCCAGCGTTGAGACAGGCTCTCGGAGTACAGCCACTACAACGCTACAAAGATTGTCGACTTCAAATGTCCTTGTCGCAGGCATCGCGGGAGTTAAGTTTGACGATACATACTTCGTAACTCCTACTCCAATGCGATTGGTCATCACAGGTGGAGACGAGTTTGCTTGGAACATCTAGTCGGTAACCTCGGTTTCCATGTTTATGCCGCTTAAAGCATGAAATTGCCAATATTACCGACTGAGCATTTGCGTTTTTACGCGTTGCTGGTGTATCCAAACGCTTAGCAACGTAAATGTACGTTTCCCTTCCGGTTAACAAAAGTAGCTATCCGTGAGTTTCAAAGACATCATTCATAAAACCTTCATTACTGCCACTCCTGTATCACAAGCGTCTTTGCTTCCTGTTTTCTGAGTAGGCCCACAAACCCGTTCGCAACCGGCAAGCGCAGGTTCGGGGTTCTTTACTGGTGGTCAACAAGAACTATCCTTGCTGGAATTTACACTGACACCCGCTTGAGTGAGGCAGTTTGGATTACACTGACGATACCACCACCTCCGGCTTCTGATGTTACAAGATTGGGTTGACCCACGCACAACTTTTGTTGCCTTATTTAAAACTAGTACGGTGCGGCTGTCGCAAGCAAATTCTCAGGAGGCGGCGAAATGATCGGCACAGGTCCTCGGGACGTGGAGGTGGCCCCTGGGGCCTCAACATTCCGTCTCGTCTCCAGGGGGCGAAACACATTACCAAGGAATACTGTTGCCGTTTCAACCTACGAGAGTATTGATTTAAACTACATCAGGCGTGACCCCAGCTGAGTATTACTCCTACTGACTCTGATGTCCAATTCCCAAGTTTGTATTTGGCACAGAAAGGAAATTTGAAGCATGATACGTAGCTCAGCCACTTTTATTGAAGAATAAAAATAAGCATATATAACACATTCTTCTTTAAGCTTAATGCTTGAAAACATCGGCAAATTTTAGCACAGAGTAAATGCTCATTCGATGCAACTTAAAGCGCTATTTTCTTGGGTTCCGACCAGGTCCAGAAGTCAAACTTTTTGCGCGATGGCATGGGCTGACTTGATGGCGGGACGAACTCTGCGACTGATATTTCTTGGTTTTCGTAACCTCCAAGGAGAAGAAGGAAAGTGGAAACTGATTAATTGCAAATGAAGTTTGATTAAAAGGTAAAGGCGGTGGCATTGCCACAGGGCAAAACAACCAAAGATGTTAGTAATGAGTGAGAAAGGGGAGCAGGGATGTATGTGGAGACGGGGTGGGCACATTGCTATAGTTGGCTCTGATAGTACGCTGGTGGAAAGGCCGTTTTGGCACATAGATAAGTCATCGGTAAATTGATAAATCATCGTCCAAACCGGCCTTGAGGATTCCATCAAGGGAACGACACCTCATCTGTTGTCGAGGATTATTAGGATTTTAGAAGTATCTACATTTCCTGGAGAACAAAGACGAACCAACCTTCCAGATAGCTGCTCTAACCTAACTTGCACTGCAGAACAACACGAAGCATTGAATATAATAAAAGCAATTTGCATGAAGTAGGAAAGGAAATAATGTTCTAACTGTCTCAGCCGTCCGTCGCATCGGGTTAGCATCGACTCTTGACTGTCTCATTCGGGACGAAGTCTTGCAGTTTACCTGGAAGTGAATCCCCAGGGAGCAGTCGAACTAAACGCTCAGACTCGCATTCAGTCACACCTATCAGTGAATCACCTATAACGGCAGAAGTGGATGAGCCGAGACGATACTATGGACGGAGTAATACAACGCCGCGATTTCATATAGACCTTCGATTGTTTGAAATCACTTTTCAAGTCGCATTTGGTGCCAGTGCATACATTGTCTCCTATCTGGCTTTTAGAGGATAACTCGACCGGAGATCCCTGAAAACGCCATCTTCTCCAGCTTGAGAACGGTAATCAAGAGAGTTGCCCATTTATGGCAAAAATACGCTCGACGACACATCAGCGACTGTCATCACTCGAAAAAGCTCCCCCCGTGCTGTAGAATCGACAGCCGTGCACAGCTATCTCCCAGGCCGCATAAAATACACATAGTTTATGAATAAAGACACATTTATCCTGTCGAACAAACTACCGTCGACTGGTATCACACAGTTTGTCCAGACGACGGAGCAAGATTACAGAGTCAAATCGAGGACTGGACACTTCAGCCTTCAGAATATTTGGTCTTGTTCATGAGACGGCATACTATAAAATTCCCAATCGCTCAGTCATTCACAAAAAGGACAGTCCAAAACAAATACAAAAAAACATAATTGTCATTGAACAAGGGGAAAGTAAAACGACAATTCCCCGAGTTATTTTTCGCTGTCTCTAGACAGTCATAGTCCAGCTCAAAACCAAGCATGCCTGGGGGTGAATTCTCGCTCAACTATGCATAGGACCAGCCGGCTGAGATCCGCAACATTCAGAAGCACGTGCAATAGCGCTGACCGAGTTAGTCCAAGTAAAAAGCGCAACGAAGCAATTCAGTGTTATTTCCTGAAATCATCGGCCTCACCTAGAAGCAAAGAAGCCTTCCAGACAATGGCCTATATATATGTAACCTAAATATCCTGAGACAGTAGGGACCGGGTGGGGTGTGTGCGCCGGACGTATGCCGAGGGTTTCGCCATGCGGCTGGACAGCCGTTGGACGAAAATACGCTGACGAATTTACACTGTCGCAGACCTGCCAAACAGTCGAGGCGCTGTGATTAATGGAGAGGGGGAGGGGTGGGGTAGATGCGACAAACAAATTTATCCTAAGATGTCTGCCTCCATGATCATTTTGTTATCAGCAAACAAGTTTACACTGCAAACATAGCCCCTGGAGGGTCTACTACGTGTCGCCCTAAATCTCTATCTGAAGATGCCAACACCGTATCCAGATTTGGGTCTTCCGATCTTATATTTGCGATGATAAAAACAAGGAGAGAGCTTAAAAATGCGAGGGAAAATAGAAGAGCGCACTAGGCCATCTTGACAGACAGACGACTTACAGGCAGTAGTCCTTCAGTCGACCTGAGGGCAGACTCGAGAACAGCAAACTGAACTCATCAGGGGGAGGGAGGCAGAACTGCTGACTTACGGAAAGAAAAGAGTCTGTCCTGCCAAACGGAGAGAGTAACAAAAGACTCCTTTAAGGTACAGTCAGTGAGACGTGTCCACTGTCCCAAGGGTCGCCGGTTGTCGGGTGGGACGAAGATATAAACCTGCAATCGAGAAGAATAACATTCGGCAACAAAGATGCTGCCCTTGAATGTGACTGCCCTGCATCTTGTATATGCGGATAGCATGGGAGCAGCAGCCTTCCAAAAGCCGTCCGATGACTTTCGTGGTCCGCGCCAGTCTGCTGGCTCTCGTAAATGACACATCTCCACAGTGGACAGCCATTTGCCTCTTAAATCGGGTTTGCCGCCAATCACAAACACGCGACCATCCGGCAGCGCAACAGCTGTAGAGCATAGCCTTTTTTCTTTTAAACTAGGTAGTTTATACCATCTAAAATGAAGGAAACGGTAAAAAGGGTAACTCAGTTCGGTCACTGCAACGGTGGCCCACTTATGAAATCAATCTAGTCAGCAGGGCCAGTTTGACGAAGTTTAAGTCGACAAAAAGCGCGTTTAAAGACGTTACATGAGGGGGGGGGGGTTGTCTGATGATATAAAAACTCTGTCCCCATTTGAAAAGTGGATCAGACTCTAATAGCTACCCGTTAATTTTGGCCGTAAATGGTGGCTGTATTTTTTTGAACGAAGCATGCAGGATATCCACGACTAAGTAAGCTTCTTTAATGCGGGCAGTTTTGGTATCTAGGATCTCACCCGATCAAACTATTCGGGCCTACCCAGAACTGAGGTACAGACTGAAATAGCTCTAGTATTAACTTCATAACAGTCTATCTAGTAAGATATTTGAGATCTCGCATCGAAGCCTAGCTTTACTTTGCAGGGCCACTATTTAGGTCACGGAGAGTGGGGGGGGTGTAGGGTCGAACAGAGTAGGATAAAAGCACCAAAAATTGCTCTACTTCTGGAGGTTTCAACAGGATTTAGTGCCTCAAATCTTACCGGTAGGTCGCCGTCCTTAACCACGAATTTCAATCAGACCGCTCTTCTCAGGAAAGTGTCCAGTGCGGTAACAGTCGCTCTGTTGCAGTTGGCTACATCGGAAAACTTCGCGTTTTGAGCGGTATGCTAGTACTTCTTTAGTGGAAATTTTCAGCAAATCTGTATTTCATGCATTCTTGGACCAAATGTACACTTTCAGCAAAACTGCCAAATCACGATAGCTAAATCCTCAATGAGCTTACAAATAACGCCTATGAACCTGAGAAAGAATATGGAAGAAGTAGACTGTTAAGCTACGCCATAGAACTTTCTGAGTGTCAAACATCAAATGGAGCTCCGGCCAGAAAATGAAAGATCACATAAATGGCGGTAGAAAATTGCCTTTGACTAAAGCCAAGTCTTAGCAAAGAGAGGCAAAGTTAAGACAGGAGATTAATCGGCGAATAGACGCGGTGTATTAATGCAGTGCCTAATGCCCTCAGGCTTCGAGTCTGAGAGAAGAGCACCGTTGACTTACGACCATCCCATATGGAAGAAAAATTCATTCAAGCCTGTCCCATTTTAGGCGGTGAACACAATCACCATGTACTTTACTATGCGGCTACGACACCCAGCAGACTCACTTGTCTTCCTGTGGAGAGTAGACTTCACAAGTGTCAAGACACTCGTTCTGCCTGTTGCTTCCCCCGAAGACACAAATCACTTTTTCCTGCCCGACTCGGACGGCAACTGCCGAATGGTACATCCGTTCCGTGGAGAGCGGCGCACATTCTTTCCACCGAAGTTCCTTCCTATCAAATTTGTCAACATTTAGAAAGCTGCCGTCGTTTTGATCTCCTCCAATCGCGAAGATGCAGCCTGTTTCCAATGCAATAAGGAGCGAATTTAGGAGATACGAAAACGAGTGTAAAGGATATCAACGAAAGGCGCCGACTATGCGAGAAAATATAGATTTAAGGACGATAAATTACCCCACAATGTGTGTTCTCATGAAGTCGATGGATCTGGCACAGCTATGCTGTATTAAAACGATTTCCACTCTTGTACCACAGGCTTATACAATGGCAAAAGCGTTCTAGCCAGAAGTTGCATGACTATGCGCAGCATGTGTCTTCCATCGCGCGGCTTAAAATCGCCGGTGAGGCGGGGCGTAAGCTTGCTGAACGCCAGCAGCGATAAAAAATTCAATGTTCTGGCTAATGGAGAAAAGTACAAGAGAAGACGAAAAACCATTTTCTTCACTTATTTCCATGCGACGGGAGGCATTCAGTTAAGAAGCATGGGAGCAGTCTCCCACGGCTCGTGCTGATGCTTTGCGCGAAGGTGAAAAGGCAGACAACCGCCTTTCACGTTTGAAGGTTAATATCCGGTCCACACAAACTCTGTCAGGTTGATGAAAACATGCTGCGCCTTTGGGCAGAAATTTTGTGAGCTGATCTTCGCGCAAATGGGGAATTTGTTTTACGGTGAATATCCGGTTTACACAAACTCTGTCAGGTTGATGAAAACGTGCTGCGCAGAAATTTAGTGGGTGAATCTGCGTGTTACGGAAAGAAGACAAGAGCATGTCAAAAACCATCGTCGTCACCACACCAACGCTGGGGATAACAGGCGAAACGCAATCATTTGTAATTTTGGAAGCGTAGAACGGTCCATCTGACACTCTAGACAGCAGCACGCTCCGATTAATCGCGTTCGATATGAAAGAATGTAAGCAGGCAGTCTTTTTGCATGCAAAACATTGCCAACCCTTATGAATTTGCCGCCATACGAATGTCTGACCAAAACAACGGCAGACAGATGGCTGCAAAGGTTGGCACACGGGAGCTGGGTTCAGTAGGCAAGTACACAGCGGATGGATAACAGTTGCTAGGGCAAAATCAAGGACGTTTAAAACAGCATGTGATATTGGTCGGGAGAATATCAGTGTTGTCGACAGCCATCATGGCTGCCTGGCGTCCCCGTTCAAGGCCTCGCTGCCTCAAGGTCATTCAGCCCCCTGCAGCGAGCCGTTTCACACGCGCTGACCTGAGGCCACTCGACCGATTTCAGCGCCGACATACCTGTCTCACACAGTCGTACCCGACCATCCGAATGCGCCTTCTCGCATGCAATCACGGCATACGCCACTTAACGACTAGCACTCTACAAGTCCGCGTTCCACATCGATTCCAGGTGACAGTCAAAAATAAACAAAGACAGGTATAACAGCTGACAGTCCTATCAAAAGTTCAAATGAACGGGACTCACTCTCAATGGCCACGAAGGCCGCGCTAGATGAACCCGTTAAAACTGCTAGTGGCTTCGAAGTGTTTGCGTCAACATCGTACTCGATAAAGCACTTCCGGCCCGTTTTTGCGGTGCCGATGAGGCAGATGCCACCCACTGACCTTCTGCGTTTATCATTAAACGGACACTCTCCATCCACTCTCGAGGACGGATGTTCGATCCAGGCAATCACGCGAGCTAGAAGTTTACTTAAACAGTAAGAAGGTTAAAAGCGCATCCACGACTTACAAACATTCCATACTTTTATTCCAAAAGCCTTCTTCATTTAACAATCCGGATCTGAAGTCTGCATCAACATGGTTCCATCGCACTTCCCGCAGCATCGCCTCCGCGTGCACCAGTCGGGTTTCTTCAACTTCGCCAGGTGAACTTACCCAAACCCCTATCGATTTGAGGACGCTCTCCTCACTGTCCACTATGAGGTCATCAGCACGCAGTATCGACAAGACAGCGTCAGCTGGCAGCTGGATGAAGAAGTCACTTGCAACCGTGGCTTCAAAGTTTGTCTTTATGTGCTGAAGACAGGCGTTCATTAGCTGTTCGCTCTTAAGCAACTCTGCGAGGTCCCAGTATTTTTTTATGTTTTCGGAGTTAAACCTGGGAGTTCATGAGAGCTCGATAACACCTACCTGGCGGCCATAAAACTCGCAGCCCACTTTTCCACCTGAGGCATTACGAGTTGCTGCGACAGAACAATCAGACCAGTAGCATTGGCCTCATTGACTTCCAGCTGGCCTGTGTACACATAGTCGATTAGTGGTTTAGCGACTCTGCGCGGTAGTCGTAATATAGCACGAGTGATTACTCGGAGGAAACCTTTGGCCACTGAAGGGCAGTCTTCTTTTGCGTATGCATTGTACATAAGGATTCACGTAGGGAGGGTACTCTGCAGACCAAAACTAATTTGTGTACATGCAGCAAAACGTCGTCCTGTAGCTTGAAATAAGAAGAGAACAGTGAAGTTTATTTATAAACTTACCTCTATAGTCATATCGGTCAGTTCGTCTGTCATACGAAGGTTGTTTAACTCGGGAAGACATCGTACAAGTGCCACTTCGTCCTCAAATGACTGAGTCTCCTGGTTGGCCATTGAATGCGCAAGACCGGGTGACTAAACATTCGGTCAGATGTAGTCAATTCTGATAGTAAAATTTTTAAAAAGAAAGAAACGTACAACCGTTATGATTTTGGAGGAATTGTGGGTCTGTAATGGGCACCAGAAAGCCTTACATTGAGGATCAACCCTACATGGAACACGCGGCACTCGAACAGTGGCCATAGTGATAACCATACTAGAAAATAAACAACTGTCGCTGTTTTCGTTGGCAGTATGTTCAGTCGGTGTCCTATGCATGGCTTCAACTAAGCTCACTAATGACCACACTACAGACTGTGCAATTGACCGTTTCTTCCGCCGAATACGGCATGATTTCTCAGAATAATTCGCATGCAACCATTCAACCACTGACAGACATTCTGTAGTATTTGCGTCATTGCCATCGTTTATTTTATAACCCTAAACCAGATTACCAACACGATAACAATGTGGTCATGAAGCCTTAAGAAAAAAACCCTCAACACCTTACAGAGTTTTTATTTCGTCCGCTCATTATTGAATCAGTTTGAGGCGATTCAACATTTAAGGCGCCGGTTCAGAAGGAGGCCTCTCAGCATACATCGTCGCTGACCCACATACGACAATTTGGCAGCCGGCACCGACGGTGTCCATCATGTGATGTGATTTCGAGTGTTAGTCGATTCTTTCTGCATTTACCGCACTCGCCTCCCCCTCCCACTTTGTCCCGGAGGAGGGATCGGGCAAAAATCAATGGTGCGGCGTAAGCCTGAATCTAGACGCATCAGCATATTCTTACTTATGTGGCATCGGTGATAGGTGTGTTGGAGGAGGAGAAAGGCAGAAAAAACTAAAATTATCCTTTGTATGCAAGTGTGTTGGCAGCGCTGCGCGGCCCCGCTAGGTATGTTAACATTATACATTAGATAGAAACCATTGTAGCGGGCAGCGATCGTGACAGTAAAGCTCTATTCAACACTTCCAGTAAGTGTTTTTTGACCGCGAATGAAGTTAAATCTGAAGTCTATGCCGGTATGTTTCTTAGACAGCAAAGAAACCTATAACGTATACTTTGTTCCTTATCACACAATAGTGAACAAGAATTTTTGTCTGCAAGTGCTGAAGCCGCACAGTGAGTCAATGATACAAATCGGCATGAATTAAAGCAGAGTTTACGCTCCTTCGATGCAACTTAGAGCATCTACTTTCGCGCGATCCGACCACGTTCAGAAATCAAACTTATTACGCGATGGCATAGGCTGACTTGATGGCGGGATCAACTCTTTGTAACAAAACAAACTGTGCCTATGTAAGCGACCCCGCCAGCAACCTAAATTTCATAATGTAGTGGAGAAGTTGCTAATTTTGTAAGTTAGGACTCGTCGCTTAAAAATCCGCGGTCTAAGTGGGCCATCGATATTGAAGGCAATAGGTGACGTTCAGCAAATTTATACCAACTGAGTGAATTTTCTCAACGAGGTTAATGTTTAAGTGACAAGGAATCAGGGAAAGCCATCGAGATCAGACAGTTTAAACTGTCTGAATGTACTGAATGTCGGTGTTACTGTTTTGTCAGGAATCCTGACTCCCTTTCATGTTAGACATTTCTTACTATTGTTTACTATATCAAACGGTAAAATTTGCTGTCTACCTATCTAAGTTTGAAGGGCAAAATCGATATAACTCGATTGGTATCGATTGCCCGCTTTGCATCAGATGGACGGCTGGCCAGTTTCGTCCCACATCCCCGCCCTATGAATTTCGCGGTCAAGCTGGCATGCCAACGCGAGTGAATACGCCTGGCTCCAAGTTGCACTAAAATATAACTTCGCTTTACTCGTTAGCCGCGTCTATCACCCTCCCAACGCCAATTTCATTTACTCTCACAGGCATTTCATGCTGCGGACGACCTAAGCTTTAAGTATCAATTGGTTGAGAGTGGCTTTAATCTCCCTGAAGTCTGCTGGTTTCCGCCTTCAAGCCCCAGAAGGTTTGAAGACATTGTTGAGGCTGTGGATGCTGGGATGTGTACTCAGGTTGTCGACTTTCCCACCCGAGGATCAAGCATACTTGACCTGATTTTCTCTAGAGGTTGCATGCATTCGTCTGCGTCATCCCTAGGCCCACTCGGGGGCTCAGACCATGACATAGTTGCTTCAACATTGGAATTCGAGGCTGACAAAACGTTGTCCCCAAAGTATAGCATTTTCCGCGATTTCCGATCAACTCGCTTAACCGAATTATTAACACACCTTAATTCCTATGACTGGATTGATTTCTTCCTTAGTTGTGATGTAAATGTTTGCACTGCAAAACTGTACGAAATTTTGGATCCGCTTATTTCTCGTTTTGTTCCCCCCTAAGAAAATTATTAACATTGGGGATGAGGTTTTCCTACCCTTACCCTTTCGTCGCAGATTGCGCTGACTTTAACGTCGGTTCCATCTTCAGAACGACGTTTCTGTCCTGCCCTTGATCGACCGGGGCAGTTCTAGAAACTATAACCACTCAGAACGACATAAGAAGTTGACCTCGAGGCCCCAACGCACACGGTTTGTGATCTCCCTGTAAGAAAATCTGTTATCCATGTCAGCAGCTATCCTCTTATCCCAATTTCAGAAAGTTTGTAGATTAGGCGCTTGTGCGGGACGCTGTCGAACGCCTACTTGAAGTCCGTGTAGATGACTTCGACACTACCATCCTCATCCAGTTTACGAACCCATTGCTCAGTCGAGAGCAATAATCTGCAAAGGCATGAGCATTTCCGTTTGAAGCCGTGCTGCAGAGCTGAGAGTTAGTGGTTCTGTTTCAGGAAATTCATTGTTGCTTTCCTAACTATGGCATCCATTATCTTACGGCATATACAGGTGACACTTACAGGCCGATAGTTGTTAGCAGTAACGCCAGCCTCATCCTTGCTGCCGTCCATTCCAACGGCAACCTTCCTAATTCGAACGCCGAAAGGGAAACAAGTGCAAGTGGTTTGGAGAGTTCGTTCGCCAATTCCTTCAACGATCTGGCAGGTATTATGCCCGGACCCGAAGACATTGCCTGTTTGAGGTAATGTAGATCCCTTCTACGACAGATTTCGGGGCGAGTATGGAGTTAAATACGGGACCAGTGGTCTTTACGGCATTGCCATAACATTACTTGGACCCTTGATGGTACCGCGAAGGGTTTGTAAAAAAGATTCAAAAGGGAAGGCAGAAAAATTGTCCAAAACTCCAAAACGACTAACGTCCTCATGGAGGTGGACTAAACAATGAGCATTATGAACAAGATCTGCAGGACTGTACAAGATTGGGAAATCAGAAACAAATTTATCTAATAGCATACGTCCAAAACCAATGAGGGATTTATGCAAAATGCGATGGGAAAATATAAAAACGGCAACAAACAAAAGAAGGAAATGTTCATAATGGGAGGAATTGAGATGGTTAGCAAGGACTACAGGACCGATGTACAGTAGGAACTGCCGGTATTCTGCAGCCTTCCAGTATTCAAGACAGTCAAGAGGTCTGCACTTGCGGGAAAATTCAGCAGGCAGACATTGACTGCATTGTTTAATAGACTCATTAATAGTAATTGACTGTTTCCCCGTTGCAAGCCGCCACATATGCAGGAGCTTCCGAATGACACCAAGACAAACGAGATGCATGTAGTCAATTGGAAACGTAGCAACCATATCAATAGGCAGGTCCTCGAAAGGTGAGGTGCCTTTATGGTGCTGCTCCTGACTTCTCGTGCGGAATGATCTGTCATCCCGCAGACGCCCGCTGTGTACGGGGAAGATCATGCGGTTTGCCACGGACCTACCCATATGACAACACCTAGGAGGATTACATTTTCGTCGATTATAGCAATTACCTGTCGCAGCCGTAATAGCCATTATGCGCTTTTACTTGCCGGACGTAGGACCGAGCAGGTGTGTCGCAGATGACGTTGGCCAGCTCAACTCTAACTACAGCGTCCGTATCCGGGACCTGAAGTCCGCTGGTCAGAATATCCTTCAGTTCTGAGATGCACTGACCAAGAAATACACCCAAAGGCTCAGGGTTGCCGGAACCAGAGAACACTCCAACAACAAACGGCAGTCCACGGACAGGATAGCTGACTCGACCGAGGATTGGCCATAGACACTGGCCAGACCCTTTAAATAGCTTCATTCCGTCAATGTGGAGTTGAACCCGTATTTTCGGGAACAAAGCCGAAGGTCGAAGTTGAAGCTCATCTAACAGACCGCGTTTAAGGCCCAGGTGGACGTAGCTGCCGTTAGAGAGGGACTCAGTAACGCATGCTCGCCGTGTCTGCATGAGAGTTCGCGGGTCCTTGGGCACCTCTGGGTGGTATTTCCGCAAAAATTGGAACAACAACTTGAATGTTGCTTGCGGTAGTTGGACACTTAAGCAGAATTCCCTCAAATCTGTCAAGAAGCAATTGCCACTGAACGGGTTCGAGCTGTCATCTGCAACCTGGTCATCGTCTACATTGTCTTATAGCATACCATTTAACACCTACCAATGCTCACTTCAGGGCTAAGGTGCGGCATCGATGGTTCGGGGGACGACTCCGTTACGAGGGATGACGTAGATGGGAGCGAGGGGTCATCGGTGGCGGCATAGTACGCCATCTTCGCCCGCTTAGTCATGTTGTGCATTGTACTGCGATGAAGTCCCCAGTATTTTCTTTCCATATTTGCTTAGAATTAACATATAAATACCATTAACATATATTAGACCGCTATATAGTACACTCAAGCCGTCAGATTACGTGCCATTCTTATAAATAACTTAAATTACGACTCTGGAGACTAAAATAAAGCATTTACTTATTACAATGACATATTGCATCGCATAGACGAAATAAATAAGTAAATGAATAACGTACTGCAGTCAGAAAGAGCCAAGGAAGAATCAGGAGTCAAGCAGCTGTATGGATCAGATGTGCACACTGTCAGCGTGAAAGTGCCCTCCACGTGGGTACATGACCGACTTAAAAAAGGCCAATATTGGCCTTCGTGGAACATGAATTTCTCTCGATGTTATACGACTGAAACCATATTAAACAAGTTAAAAGGCTTATATTTCACGATAATAAAGCTCAAACAGTCCAAATTAATGCAGAATGACGTGATTAGAAAGGATGGAAATTTGGACGGGGCCTAGCCCCGTCTAGCCCCGTCTGGCCCCCGGGGCCATGTGTTGGCAGGGTTTCGTCAATCTTATAGTCCAGGACCTGATGGTGTCCCAGTAAGCATTTTAAAAGCCGATGCAAATACGATTTTCCCATCCCTCTTATGCAAGATATTTGGTCTCGTCCTTGAAAGTGAAACTTATCCTACCTTGTGGAAGGAATCACACATTTTACTCATTCCCAAGCATGGCCAATCGACGTCATTTTATGACTTTCGTTCAATAAACATCCTCCTCGCAGTTTCGAAGATCTTAGAGACGTTGATCAAAGATAAGATGATGTGTCACTTAACAGTGAATAATCTAGATAATAGATATATATATATTATCTAGATTATACATAATCAGTACAATTAAGTGTTCAATAAAATCATCTTATATCCCAAAGGAAACCCAATCATAAAAACAATAAACATAATCGGGCGACTTCAAAAAGATGGGCAAGCGGATAACGTAGGATTAATTAGAGAAGTATGTGTGAACAAACTGCGCAAGGCTCAAGGCGTCTTTCGAAATGTTGCAAGCGTAGGCGACTGACGGCATTAAGAGTTCAGTTGAAATTAACAAAGAAGATGGTACATTAGCATTCGAGGAAAATATGTGTCACATGGTGTTTAAAGCTGAGATCAAAGAAGAGGGCAAAGTGTATTACATTTTCAAAATTTGGTCTTGTTTTTTCGTTCAGACAGGCAGTCAGCAATGGCCTGAGCATTTTGGACAGAGGAATTGCGTCGACAAAATATTCCCCATTTCTTTCACTGCATTACAGATTACAAATAAATTTGTTTAGGGTGCGCTGAGCCATAAAGTATACTACGAGAAAATTGTTTGCTAATTCGTTACAATGCCGGACAGTAGAGCACTTTGGAAAATATGTTTTCCAAGGAGCATGAATATGCTTTGATGGATCGCAGTTGCAGAATCTTCCAACACGATCGGGACGCAATGAACAGGCGTTCTTAAAGGCAGTTGTTTCCATCATTTTACTTTACGCACCCCAACTACGAATATTATTATTTTTATATATTTTTTCCTAGAGAAGGGTCCTCCTGGGATTTAGTGGTAGATCTAGTGGTAACTCTTAATTATATCATTAGAAACCCCTGTTTTGCCTCGATTTCTAAATACACTGCTATCACCCCTCCCCCATAGCGACAATTTTCGCGGTTTTTGATGTCACCTCCCGCATTCCGACCTCATGCGGTCTGTCGCCACTCACGGTTGAACCCTCAGTATTCACTGCATACTAGTAGTTCGGTCGTACCTCACTTCCCCACTGCTCGGCTGAGCTGGAAGCTTGCTGTGGCCGATCGCATCTGGGTTCCTCTCGTCTGGCCTCTTTGACGCGGCGTATCAATCCGACCCAGACGATCTCAATTGTGAATCCCGTATACAATGCCATAGGCAAGCCAGTCCTATCTGACCCACATTCGTAGCCCTCAAGGCTGAGATTTATTGCTTCCCTGTCGATGACCGACAACATTCCGTTATATACCACCACCTACAGGCCAGTCCTGCTCGCTTTTTTCTGTCATTATTTTTATTAAGGGTTTTTTTTCTCCTGTAAAATTAATCCAATCATTTTTAAATTTTTTTACGGAGTTATTTTTTTCACCCCTCAATTATCATGTTTCTTAATGGACTAATAATTCAGAAACTATGAATTGCATTTTGTAAAGATTCGGCCTACCCCGTCTAAAACTCGCATGTAGATTTATTTTAACTTGCTTTGATGGGACCCCGACGGGTCTTTAATAAAAATTATTTATCTATCTATCCATATCCCAACAGATTTTCCGACACCATCAAGATCTCACTGACATCGGAGTAGTTGGCTTACGCAGCTTTTTGTGAGATCATTGGCGTTAAACCTAAAAATACTAGCAGTATTTCAGTGCCGCATACAGGGTAATTCTACATCCGTGGGGTGTCGAGTGTTCAGAGATATTTCGTCAATAAAAAAAATTGTTAAATAAATCGAGAATTTTTTCTTTGGCAGACCACATGGTGAAGACAACTGTTCCTTCTAGCTTAATGGTCTGCAACAGTCAAGTGGTCATGCGTTTAGATGGCTGCCCGTCAAATACGTTATCAGTTTACTGTTATATGAATTGTCGTACTGCGGATCGTGGCACACACCGCATAATTCCGCGGCTTAGCTTAAGGCCATGACCCAAATCGTAAATTAAAACTAGACTAGATTATCGGCCCTTGCCGGTTTTGTCCTTTGTTTGCGCACGACTGAACATAAACGAAAGCTATATAAGGTGAAAGAAAGTATGCTGAGATGAGTATGACAGAAGAATAAAATAAATTAGGACAACTTTGTGAACATGTGAAGGTTAAAAACTTGAAGTCCGAAAGATCATCGTTGGCCCGCAAGAGGTTCTTTAGATAGTGATTGTGGATATCTGCATAGTTGTAATTTGGCACATGTAAGTAAGATAGGGAGGACCTTGCAGATTTACGGATAAATAGCATGCACCAATTTGCATTACAAAGAGAAGAGAATTTGCGATCATGAAGAATAAACCGGCGAAGGCTTCTACTGGATGTCTCAAAGGTTTCTGAAATGAAAACAAAATTTGGCACAATGTCCTTTCTTACAACAATCCGGTTATAGCGGAAATTAACTCGCACTTCATGTCTAAAATAGTTTACCTTTCACTGGTATTGGTGGCCTCGCACGGTGATTAATCGTGCCAGTTCAAAAATGTCAACAGACAGAGGAGCAAATTCTGACTCTACAACGATTCTGAGAGACATGTTCATATCTGTTACACATTGTCTCTTTGGAACAAGAAATACTTTTAGTTTTTCAGCCTCTCGGATGACAGAATTTAACTCGTCCACGCAGCCGCCCTACTCGGCGTAAGTAGGTGTGAAATATGCTCATGCAAATGAATGTGATCATAAAGGAAGTTGTTGATGTCGGTCAGATAAGCCAGATGTGCAGGGGATGCATATGTGAAGAATTAAATTTAGGCCTTGGAATCTGTAGGTGACATCACCAATGATAACCATGATTAGTGAACATGGTGAGACATCCCCAGTTTTTTGTTAACTTTGACCGAATGTCGGAAGGCGTACAAGGCGTACAAGGCGATTTGCAGGTTAAGGAACACATAGCACTCCATTCCCGGTACCTAATTTTATTTCTACAGCTTACATTTCAAACGCAGGGGAATTAAACTTGCGCTTGATTTAAGCAAATTCGTAATAGAGTCGCCCCCCATGACGACGTATATATGGCGGCAGGTCTAAACAAAATAGCTTGGAAGTGAACTACAACGCCAGTGGGGTCAGCCATGTTGACTTAAGGACAATTCGACCTTTCTGACGGGCGCTTTAAAAACGCCGTAGTGCTTACGGGACGCGAAAACGGAAATGCCGTCAAATATAATGCGTGACAAATAAATTCGGCTATGGCGTTCAAGTTGGGGGAGCCGAGAATTCTCAGGTACCTGGCCTTGACGATCTATAGAGGGATTATAAGACATGTTGTTTGTCTATGAGTGAAAGGGAGGTGACTCATTGCAGTTGGGCAAGGACGCTGATTTCGGTTCCGTGAAGAGTGGGACGACGAGTGAGAGGCGACTGACACATGTTAACAGAAAAATGATACCGACCAAAGAGACTGATATTTCTGCAAAACTAACTCCTATTTCAGCAGCCGTTTGCGAATAGTTCACCAGTTTAGTAGGTCAAATGACAGGCACATCCCTACTACCATATCAAACCGGTTAACGTCTTCGGAAGGCCCAAAGAAGCCAAAACTCATTAAAAATCTAAAGCTTAAGCAAGCTGCCTTGAATTTCCAAAACGGGTAAACATATTCTAACATATCTTCTGGTATTCTCCCACCCTGAACATCAACTCTTCGTTGATATTATTTGTGCTGTGTTCACATCAGACACCTAAATCGCGCACGCAGTCTCAGTGTTTGTTTTAATACTTCAGCGTGCTAGGTAGAGGGTAGTAACCGAACACACTGTTTTCAGAACGAGGACTTAGCTTGCGAATATTCAGAAAACCACCCCCCTCGAAAATTCTTACCGTTTCGACCTTTTCGGTCGGCAAATATCCATGTATGTGGTCCATTTTAAAGAACGTAGGCGTAATTCTGCCAATCTTTCTATAAACCACGTCAAAAAAGTGTAGGCCATTCTCACCTTGTTATAGTAAGTCGGTTGCCTAGGCATGCACTTACCACTGATATTTCTTACTTGGCCGTGTTCTTAATTATATCCAGCGGGGCATTCCGTTACTGGAAATATCAACCAAACATAGATTCGCAAGACATAAACTCAAAAAGACACGTAGTGACCGTTGCGGCTAGCGTGAAAATGATAGTTAAATCGTCTGGTAGCCAAGACAGATAGTCCTCCACCCTGACCCCGAGGCGTAATTCGAAATGTTGGCAGCATAGACGACCGATGGCCTCAAGAGTTCATTT